TTGTTTACAACCGATGTGTAAATGTTTATTGGCAAAAAGCAAAAAACACGTATTTCTTAATTTTTTGCGAGCAATCACATCGCGTAAGTGGAACTTAAGTAGGAGTGCTTGTTTAATGGATATTACAAAAAAATGTCACCTGAAGGGTAGTTCACCCCCTTGAGGGGGTGCAACATTGCTGAACAATATTGTGTTGTCACCGTCCTTATACAGAATACGTTTATGCAAAGTTTCGTCGAAATCCCTCCACTGCTCCTACGAAAAATATTTGAAAAACCAATTTTTCGCTAAACTTTGGGTGGTTGTTGCACCCCTTAAATGTGGACCATTGCAGATATGAAAAAACACGTGTCTCTTAGATTTTTGTGTTCTTCAAGATATATGAAACTCAATAAGATCGGAGGCGGACACTTGGGAATGTTTCCTTGTGAGAGCAGGTTTGGGTAGTAACGCGTCATTCGAAGTTTTTTACGTAAAGTACATAAGGGAAGTATTTTACGTAACATTTAAATAAAATACCTAACAAATTACCCGACAAAGATGGCGGTACTGTAACCTCACTTTTTAAAGTAACTAAAGTATAAATCCCCTGTAAATATACATTTTAGTAAAAAAAAAAAGAATTAAATGCATATCAATCCGTATGACCGTAGAAACAGGACCAGGAAATCCAGATACATAAAGACCCATATTCATGTAATTTACATCACGTATAAAACTAGAGTAAAATATCTAGTAATTTACTGTAAAGAAGCACGTAAATTAGCTGTGGTATTTTACTTACCCAACTCTGACTGAGGGGTAACAGGTGGCAAGTACATTAGCCGCCCGCATCCACCACCGAAGGGCAGCACAGGACTGATCGTGCGACCCTGCCCGTGATCAATCTTCCAACTCATCTCTACTCTAGCCTGCATGCTTACATTCATTAGTAAAAGTGGCGGGCTCGCACCATTCCCTGAACTCTAGTCGTTGGGAATTTAGAGATGTACGGTAAAGAAAGTTTGTAATTGCACTACAGGCAAAGTTCTTTAAAATATCAACGGATTACTCAAATTCAATTCACTGTGTTTTAACGTACGTATACTACGTACAGGAAAATGTCTCAACCATCTGTGGCGGAGTTTTTTAACACACGAAAGCGGCACGCCAACGACGATTTATTACGCAGCAAGTCGAAAGTAATCATTCTGGATGACGAACATGAAACCATTACGAGGCACAATTTGGACGCACCTGCTACAGATATTAGTGCAACGAAAGTAAATTCTAGGTTAATTTACCCAGTGAGCAGAGAAACAACTGTTCACCCAGTTGATGAGGAAGGCCAAGTTAAGCCTAAATCAAAAGGTGTAGTTCGTAACATTCAGTTTGACTCTCCAAAGTCAAGTATTCAGCAGACATCTAAAACGATGTCAAGAGCTCGTGTCACTCGATCGAGGAAATTGTCAGTCCAGGAAGGCCAAATGGATATTAGGGATACATTTCTAAAGATTAGCTCAGAATCAAAAAACGTACCTTTCGAGAAGAAAGGAATACTAAGTCCAATTAAAAAGGGGGTGGTGACACCTAAAAAAGATGAATGCTTGCTACGACCAACTTCCTCTATTACTTACACTTCAGAAAAAGAATCTAATGTTACAAGTGAGCCATCAGCTGTTGGTTCTGTTACTCCAAAGAAGAATTCTTGTATGATTAAATTGGCAAAGCAAGACATGAGTTTAGATGAAATTGAAACAAAAATCAAAAAGTCTTCTAAGCTGAAAGAACTAAGGGAGTCTATAGCAAGAATAAAAAAGTGTGAAGAAAATTTAGCACAATTTCAAAAGAAAACTGCACCTAAGAATGTTCAAATACAGAAATTTAATAAAATTCAATTAGAGATTCCAGTCAGGTTAGAAATTTATTATACACATTCAACTTGAAATTCATATTATATTTAGTTTCAATTATTTTACTCTATATTGCAGCCCTCAAAAGGTACATCAGTCCTTGAGCAAGATATTTTTGAGTCCTGTAAAGAATGTAGAGCTTCCTAAAACTGCAAGTCCTGAAAGACGACTTTTATTTGCTCCAAAAGAACCGAGTCCAGTTAAGGTCAGCCCTACTAAAACACCAGCTTATCAGAAATATCAATCTTTGGTAGACAGTGGAATTCCTGCTCTTCCATTACCATATAATTACAGATTCTTAGCTGAAGTATTCAGATGCATTGATACGGTATGTCATGATTTGTGGTTTTTTAACAGCATATTAGTGTAGTTTATTACGGTTGAAATTTTATAAATTGATATCTCAATTTTCTTAACTGTTCACAGGTTTCTGCTATGCTGTATAATCGTAAGGAAATTATAACGTTTAAGAAATTAAAACCAGCTGTTCAAGAATTGGTCCGTCGTAACTTCACTTTGGAGCATTTGGCGCAGATTAAGAGCATTTATCCTGAAGCATTCCAGTATCACCAAGAAAAAGTTCATGTTTTTGGCTCAATGCCTACACAAGATAAATATGAACTCATCTTAACCCCATTGGTAACAAATTCAAACAATGAGAGTAACATGACAGATGCCAATGAATTGTTAAAATCCCATGAAATGATGAGCCCAAGTATATTGTTAGAAAGACGAAGGAAATTCTACAAAATTTTATTAGGTATATGAGCATTGATATAGTAGAATTACTTGTTTTCCATTTACTGCATTGAATTGATTTTTATAATGCCCTTGTAGTATTGTAAAAACAGACTAGAATCCTGTTTCTAATCATAAATCAAGGTACCAAATTTGAGTTATAATCCTTTATGTTGAAATTTGCAAGATTTTTATGATACAAGTTCATTTAGAATCATATAAAATTTATTACATTGAACTTATTTAAATTAATAATAATACTTTTATTTCCACAGATATGGTTAAGGATCAGCATGAAAAGTTTTTGCTAAATTTGCAACCACCAATGATAATTCCTAAGGAAAGGATTACAAGATGGCACCCAGAATTCGATGTCAATACTTGTGAAATTATCAAACCATCTGAATTACCGCTACCACCTAATATAAACAAAGCTTCATCTGTTAGAGACGTTCTTGGTGAGGTTTGATTTAGATTTATTTTAATAATTACGTTGCAACAAATGAAGTAAATTACAAATGTGTCATAAAATATTTCATGTTACAGATAAAGCAAAATCATTATTCCATTGCAACACTCGAATAGAAAAAGCTTTACAGCGTTTAGCAGAAACAAAAATGTCCTCAAATTTTGGAGCTTCATCTGTGGTTTTAAGCACAGTATTGACGAAAGATGCCACAGATCAAGTGGAGAGTAGTAATAAACACTGTAAAGTTGAAATCTCTATAGTAGATACTCCTCCAGCAACACCCTCCTCGCACAGCAATTATCTCAGCTCAGCTTTTAAAGGCATTCCTACAGCTCTTCTAGAGAAGGTTAAATATTAAAATATTTCACCTTTCGTGTCATCTTAATTTGTGCATTTAACTAAAATTAAATAAGGAACTGTGTAAAGTGAAGAATGTTCTTTAAGTTAATTTTATTTCTAGGTTCGAGCTAAACAAGCAGCAAAAGCATTAGAAACAATGACAAGAAGCTCATCTGCTGACAAGGAAGCAATGTTATATTCAAGGCTTCCAGAATTGGCTAAAGTTTTACGCAACATTTTTGTAGTAGAAAAGAAGTCGGTTTTAACTATGGAAAGTGTGATTCAAAAACTGGACAATTCATTCAGGGTGAAGCTGACACCGAATGAAATGGAAGAACACATTAATTTACTTTGTAAACTGTTACCCACTTGGTTAAACATACATAAAGTCAGAAAAGTAGACTATTTAAAACTTGCAAAAGATGTAGATATGGGTAAAGTAATCAAGAGATTACAATTTACAGCAAATGAAAAAGTGAATGGCTCTTGATGACGAGGACTTTAAGGTCAGAGGATTGCTGTGTAAACTTAATCTTCCTTTGTCTTGCAACACTGATTAATTGATGTACTACTAATATTCAGATTAACGTAGCCGTAAACACCTACATAGAATCATGATATTATTTAAATGTTACTTTTTGTCATAGTTTCATATGTTTACATATATCTAGATCTCAACTGAACGAAGGAATATGCATCATTGAAAACTTTATAATTTATGCCTTCAAGTTTAAATTATCTATGTGAAGTGAATCCTTGTCACATTATTACATACATGAATGCAACATTTGTATTATCATTTTTTATTTTATCAATGAAACGGCCAGAAATAATACATTGCAGATGTACTGATACATAGCAATTAATATCAGAATCAAGAGGACAGCGGTCCCAATTGCACTTTCCATTTTTTATCCGCAATAACATGACTCATTAGTTTCTATTCATTTTGATGTTTTAGCAGTTTTTGCATTAATACAATCACTGCAATGTTATACTCAATTTTGGCTTGAAAGTCATGTAATAGTAATCATAACTGACGTATGCTTGTATGAAATCGTTTAAAACCGCTCATAAATTATATCACGAATATGAGACATGCCATTTTGTTACCCATAAGTGTGAGTTTTTGTAAGTACACATTTTGTGTGAATAAAAATTTGTAATCATAGTAATCACCTGTGGTGATATTGTAAATCTGGAGGGGAAAGATTCTTTTTTTCAAAATAATTATCATACACCAATTTATCAAGAGACGCGGTAGCGGCTCAGACAAGTTCATGACCGCTCCCACTCTATACACTCAAAACATCTTGCCAGCGGGTATTTAATTTTCTTCGCTCGGTCAGTGCTGACATACTAAAGACAGAAGAACATTTTAACCTACACGAAACGCTTCGTTCATTCTTTCCTTTCTTTTCTTGAGACCTTATAACATTTGGAATTTTTGAGACCATTACAATTGGTGAAGGTGTTCTGGAGTTACAGCGGTTTGAAATTTCGACAACGTTAGTTTGATTACATTCGTCATCGTCTCCCTCACTGTCCCTTACCCACGAACCTACCCGCAAGCAAAATCCACGCTCGTAACAGAGATCATCTCTACTCGTAAGTACACTGGACTCCATCGATGGCTTGCACCTGGTCCGCACTGCCCTCTCCGGCTGCGCAGCGTACTAGCGGTGGGAGCAGCGCGGAATTCAGATCGCTCGAGGGGCAGAATGGATTTCCTAAAGAAAATAAATATTTATAAACAAAAACAATTAATGAAAATTATTTTAGTATTACTGTGGAGCGTCCCTGACCCACCTAACGTATAATAATTTACAGAATTTTATAAAGAATATAATAGAACATGTTCTATTAAATGTTAACAAGTTTCTTAGTGATTCAATTGTTCCATTCACTGAACCGAAGTTAGAATATTATCTTAGCTTAAAAGAAATAGTTTCTAAATATATATACAGTGAAATACCGTCGGAAAATTTACGAAGCATCAACTATCGGACATAGAAACGAAATCGTGATTTCATGCCTCTTATATATTTACGTTC